CGAGGCGGCTTTTTTAAGCCCAAAAAGTGGGCTGAAAAACTCGGCTTATACTTGAGTATGTACGGTATGTTGTCTTGTAATGCAGAGCATGTATCTTTCCATGGCTCTTTGCGACACTCATAGCTTTTGTATCGGCTGTGAAGTTAGTCTCCATGTTTCACTGGCATATGTTAGAGCAGATAGCACATACTGATTGAAAACTTTTCTCTTTAGGTATAGGGAGAAGTTGTTCTTGAAAATTATACTTAGCTTGCCAAATGCATGCCAACCACATTTAACACACTGTTCAAGTCCTCTTATTTCACAGCACACGATCCCCTAAATTAAAAAAAAAGTAAAGGAAATAGGGGATCATTTGCTTTGAAATGTAACAAACCTTTGCTGAGAGATCGGTTTGGTCTTGAATAAGACAGTGCAACATACTGGGAATGATGGGAAATAGATAATCCTAACAATATAAAATCTCATTTATTTATCTATATAAACAGAGATCTAACAGAGATTAATACTGTAAAAGCTTCTGTTTTTCATATCAGAGTATCTAGAAAATATGTCACTCATGACTGAAGTCATAATCAGTAGCACAAGAGGTATGGAAAATAAATGTGAACCCTGAAACCAAATTGCAGGTGTAGTTTATGTAGTTCAAAATAATACAGCACTTTGTACAATAGATCAATAAAAATAAATCTTTCATCCTTTAATTTTATTTTCATTTATTATAGTAACATTTGATGTTTCATTTTATTTAGGTATTATTCTGGGCTTTTCAGAAAGTTCTAACCATGTATTGGAGAAATGAAGCTTTTAGAGCTCATTGAAACAGTGCTGCATCTAAGTAGCATCATGCTTGGGAATATTAAAGCAACAACTACCCAAACTTACTGCATATATAAAAATCAAAACATTAAACCATACAGGAAATTTTGCTAAAGAAATATCTACACAAATAATTACAGTATATAGAACAAATACATCAATACTTATAATATGCTGTACTGTCTATATTATCAAATACAAATGCAACAATACTACCTGGTGTGCTTTCACAGTCTATGTGATTGTGTTAAATCAGTTTGAACTACTGTGGAAGACAAATTATAAACCAAGTTCCAGTTTCGTAAATAATTAAGATCAAAACAAAATTACATGTGAAGGATCAGTTTGATAAATGTTAAATATACTTGTCATAGAAATCCCACTAGAACCAGCCTCTTTTTGCATATGAGTCCATTCCAGTTGTCATGATTAGATATCCTTATTATGCAATTATTGACATCATATTGAAGCAGAGAAACTCACTATAAAAACTTTTAAATTTATTGGTGGGACAGAGAATGCTCATTTTTGAAAACATAATACAATCATAAAAGTATACTTTGGTAGTAGTAAACAGCTGTAGGAACAGCTTTAGTTGGCTAAGATTTAATTTATCTTTTGAGTACAGTTCCATAAATTGGAGAATTCTGATAGTCATTTATAACTATCCAATGGCCTAAATACTCTCTCTAAACCACAGCTGCAGAGAAAAGGGCCCTTTTTCATCCCACAGCAGCAGTCAATCTTTGTAATAAACAATATTATTAAAAGTTAGCATAATAAAGAATTTATCATATTTGCTCACTTTCTGTAGTGGGCACTCCTATAATTAATGTAAGTTATTGATGAGTAAGTGAAATACTTTCAGAAATTGATGCTGTTTTTATATCTTGTTTTGAGTGTACTTATTAAAGTTATAGTTAGTCATTTAAAATAATAGTTTCATTTTTCTTTATGTACATACATTATATGTACTGAGTATGTACACACACACATACACACACACACAAATGATCCCCACTTCTGGACAACTTTTTTTTCTAGTTTCTAGAAATAGTTTCTAGAAATAGAAGTTATCTAAACCAAAGTAAGGTAACAGTCTTTGTGTCTAATTATATACATAATTAGATCCAGGGAACTTCACATTTTTATTCTGTCCTGGTACAAAAAAAAGGACACATGTGATAATGCATAAATAACCATCCTTCACCAAAGTGAGATTTAATCCACTTTAGGTCTATTTAGTGGTATTAACAAAGACTTTGGAATCTTGCCATTTACTAGAAGTAATGTCCTCTTCTATAGTCAAAAGTCTTTTGTTTGTTTGCTTGCACATGGCTAATGAAATTCAACCACTTTGATGGCAAAGAAAAACAAACAATTTCCTTCCAAATTAATGCTGATTGGAATGTGAAGAGTTGTAAATCCAATCCAAGAGAATTAGAGTCATGCTCCCAAACATAAAGATTATGCCAACAATGAGGAAAATCAGGGCCTGTAATTGGGAAAGTATAGTAAAAACAATTAATTAGTAGGAAAAGCTACAATGTAGCTCAATAATTGAAAAAATCTGAATGACTCACTCCAATCTTTTGAGGTGACCTCAAAGGCTCTTTTTTGACAATCCGAAGATAAAAGGCAGCAGGCAAAATAAAAATCAGCATTGTTGCAGCAGAGGCACCTACAGTAGGAAACATAGTTTTACTGTTTGGGAAATGAAAGCAAGCTAAAAGGCTTAAAAAAAGAGAGGCTTATTACTGTTAATTTCTCTACAAAGCACAGTAACATATACACTTTCATGCAAGTTATATGCCAATGTTTTCTCTGCAAAGGTAAGGGCTGAATCTAGTTAAGTGGTAACTAGCACTTATATGCTAAAGTTGGCTATTATATAAACATGTCTGTCATCCAACACTACCAAGCAAACCATCAATTCTCAATTGATTCAAAAATCAAAGACTTTAAAGTTTGCAGCAGTGTTTTTCAATCTCAGCAACTTTAGTGCTGGTTGAAGAATTCTGGGAGTGAAGTCCACACATCCTTAAAGTTGCTGAAACACTGCTGTGAAATATAGTAGTATTTAAATACTTTGTCTTACATATCAGAAGATAAATTATTGTGTACATGTCTCTTAATTCTTATCTATAATAAAAGTCTAATTTATCTGATCTATCTTAATGTTTCCTGCCTATTCTCAATTAGATGGTTCATTGTTTGGAGAGGTGAGATTTATAGCTTGCCAACTTCTGGGCTGTAGCTTGACAAGATAACTACTCCAATTTTGGAGGTTCTAACATTATAAGCTCGGTAACAAACCCTTGCATACAACCTTCCTCTTTCACTTAAATTAGATCCCTTGAACATTTCTACTCAAATGCTAGATAAGAAACAACTGCTCTCTTGTAGCCCAGGGGACCTAATACTAAATTTGAATTTTCAATGTTGTAGTTGTTGCTCCAATCTGACTGATTGCAGCAACTAAAATTACTGTTTTCTGAACATGCATTTTTAATATTATATTATCAGGTATCCAGTAAATTCTATTGCCTGAAGTTAAACATATCCAATGAGAATCTTCTATTACAATACCTGACATTTCTATGAATGTATCTATGGGTCTATTTTTCTATTAGACAAATATTTCCCAAAGTAGATTGTAGTGACAGGATAATAACAATGCCTATAAATACCAAAGCCAAAACAGAATGAGGAATTAAAATGCAAGAATAAACAATTTTAAACTTTACAAATGATATGCTAGAAAAGAAGAAAGGCTCTGATAATATATTTCAAAAAGTCATCTGGTGTTATAATCTAGAACACTAGGAGTCTACTCATTCCTTCCTCCTCCAAAATTATTCCCATTATTATCCAAACACCTGATCAATTGTGGAAATAATTAAAAGTCTTCATCCTGAAATCTAAAAATCTAGACCCAATCTAGAAGTTTTGTGTGGAGTCTTCTCTGGATTGGCATCTGAACAAGGAGGAGGATGTTTCACTTCCTCTATGCAAAAATAATTGTATGAAAGGCTCCTAATTGTTATAAGGAATAAAAGCATGGGTGACCATAGGGGTGGATAGAAAAAAATATCAAGATGGCTACCTTTACTTTACAACTGAAGAACTGTTCCTTTCTAGGTAATGCATTATTTCACTGTGATGCATGAACAAATGGGTGGCGCTTTGGTCAAATAGTTGTGGCTGTCATTTTAACATTTTTGACTCCCATCTTATAAGTACACCAAGATGGAAAGATGGAATCTTATCTACCTTTCTGTATTAACAACAGCTTTCTGAGCTTGGTTGTTTTGCACTGATGATGTTACCTAGTTTGGTAATGAAACGTTTGCAAGAAAACAACCAATCTCCAACAGCACCAACAACCCCTCAGTTCAACCCCAAGCTATAAGTATTCCCTTCTATTGAGAAAAAAAAAGAACTTCTCAGAGTCCACAATAATTTAGCAGGGATTCTAGATCCAGCAGATCCAGGTTAGAGAAAGGAGTTTTGCCAAAAATGAACATGTCAATATTCTTTCTTTAAAACAATGAGAGCAAGAGAAAGCATTCATACCTATGAATCCAAAGATGTCCTTAATAGTAGGAACAAAAATGACTAAAAGGTTATTAAATATAAGAATAATAATAGCAATGAGGAAATGTCTTATCCAACTGAAAGGACTTCTGGGGAACAAGAGTGTGGTAAGAGATGTACGAATCTATAAAAAAACAACAGTATATTTTAGTTTTATTATGCCCTTTAAACATTTTGTAGCAAGAAATGTTCATTTTACATCTTTGTAAATATGCCCTTTTTAACCCGAGGTTTTATAAATAAAAAAATGTACTTTGATACAGAATATCTAATGTTAAAAATAATACAAAAATATCAAAAATAAGTTCTACTTATTATCCTGTTTACCCGAAAATAAGACCTCCCCGCATAATAAGTCCAATTAGACTTTTGAGCGCATGCTCTAAAATAAGCCCTCCCTGAAAATACTGCAACACAGCAGCAACCATGAGGTGACCAGGCTCGCTGCCTCCTGTACCTCAAAAATAATAAGACCTCCCCGAAAACAAGGCCATGTGCTTATTTCGGGGGTCAAAAGAAAATAAGACCCTGTCTTCTTTTCAGGGAGACACAGTAGTTCTACTTATTAAAAAATATACTGATGAAACCTGACTTGGATAAGGATATTAGTATAGTTACCAGTGAAATCCATAAAGGAGATATCTTATTCATAAGCATCTCAGAATATTCACTTTATAGTTGCAGTAATCAAATTTATAGAATTTCTTCTTTTACTAAAGCAAGGACTTTTGCTTGTTCTATATGTCTATTAAATATAATTTCATTCTATCACTCTATCTACAAGAGACATCTGGAAAAATAAATGTGGATATATGATTCTGTTTGGTCTGCTCTGCAAATATCTGAAGCCTGGACAGCATTTCTATAGCAGCTATGTAGATATAGGGATAACTACTAGGTAAAAGGTTAATAGCTGCTCCAGTGGCCAACATTACGGTGAAGTCGCTTGACTTGTTAAAAGGGGAAAAAAAGTCTTAAGTGCAGATGCCAAACATGAAAAAATAGCATCAGCTTGGAGTCTGTAAAAACAATCAGTAGCTATTTTCTCACTGACTTTAGTACCATGGAGACTGTTCCTTTAGGTTATAAATTTTTCCACAAGCATTTCTTCTATAAACAGTATTTAAAACTCAAGGCTGATCTTAGTTTAGTCAAAATAGTAGCATCCATAGATAATAACAAAATATATTTCCCTAAATGGGATTTTAGGGGAAAAACGCCAATGGAAGAATATCCCCATGTAAGAGAAGATAATGTGCTTATGGTCACGTAATGCTTAGTATATGTTCATTTTTCAGAATGGCGTATCTTGGAAGAGGTTATAGCTGGCTACCGTATTAAACTGGAACTATGAGTCTTCAGTTCTCTGGTGATCGGAGCAATTTCTTTAATAGGTCAAGATCATTAATTCAATTCCTGAAATAATTTTTAAAATCTAAAATAGCCCCTTTAAATGCTTAAATTTACCTTTCTAGATTTTTGTCTGTAATATTCTATAAGGTTTTTAATGTCATGTCACATTGTCATTAAAAAAACAGACCTATTTTACACAAATTTCTTGAAGTAGATTACAAGAGGGTATGGGGGAAGAACACCATCATGGATGGGCTGCTTAAAGTTTGCTTAAAATGACTTACTGGAAATAGGACTATTGGTACAGTGAGAGTCACAGCCACAAGAACTGCAAGACGAACCATCAAGAGTAGAGTATCAAAGGTGTAAACCTTCCTATATGTATGAAGCAATTCATCTTCTACTTCACCTGATAAAAAAGAACATTCTCTATAAGTTTTCTCAAGCAACTTCATCATTACATGGTATACCTTCACTTTGAACAGTTTGGAATTAATAAACAGCAAAAATCCCGACATGGAGACTAATTTGCAATATATTCATCATTAGGGCAGTTGTGCAGAATTCAGTTATCTTTTCCTTGCTTTAGGGATTAACTATGGTAGAAGAGAATCAAACAATACCTTGATTTTAGCATATGAAGTTGATATATTAAATTGCTCAGGTAAAATAAATTCCTTACTGTGCACAATTATTTTATAGATAGCAAACTAAAGCTGATTTTTTTTTAGAAAACAGCAACAACAACAATCCACTGAAGGGAAATAGCTATTACAAGGATTATTCAGAATCTGTTTCCTTGCAAACAGATTCTGAATAATATGAAACCTGAACAGATATGTTGAGCATTTCAGATCAGCTTAAACTCACCATAGAAAGTAAGATAGCCAAAAAGGGCAGCGAGGAGGTACATGATGAGCATTCCCATGATGGAGACATTGGAAACATTTTGCATCCGTTTTTGAGATCGGCTGAGAATATAGCAATGGACAGTTAATTACTAGTAGGATTATTTTATTCATGTAGCTTTATATATGTATATGAGAAAGATTGAGAGGGAGAGAAACTGATGATTACCTTGTGGCTCTTTCAGCTGTATTAAAGGAAAATATTTGTAGCTGAGGATCAAAATGAGGAGTCCTTGGTGCTCTCTGAACTTGGTTGTTTTCCTGAAGACATTTCATTACCCAAAATAGGTAACATCATCAGTGCTACACCTAATAGTAGCATTAATGGTGTTACCTAGTTTGGATACTGAAACATCTGCAAGAAAACAACCAAGCTCAGAGAATACCAAGGACCCCTCTTTCAGCCTTTCAGGGATTCAGTAGAGCAAGTGGCTTCATTTGGTTATTAATTCTATACCAGACTTCTGTCGTGCCTAAAGGAACTTTAGGAACTATAATGTGAAGTGGGAATGAATTCTTAAGATTTCACAACTTTAAATTTCCCTACATCACCATGTCATTCTGAGTCATTTACTGTATATAACTTCATTTATTCATTTTATTTAAAAATAAATAGCTGGAGATTATACTTGCCCTTTTTAAGGAGGCTCGATACAATTCTGGTTAATGATGATAAGAAATATTAATACTGTAATAGTATAATAATAATTGAAATTTATTTTTCTGTTGAGATTAAGAATGAAATGGTGCAATTCTTCAAGTTATTTTATACACAGAAAGCATAAGGACTATCAGTTAACTCTTACTTCATTGCTGGCAAAGAAATAATATTCTATGCCACAACTGAGAAAATAGTTTACTTAGGAAGCCCAGTTGAAAAAGGAGTTAAATGTAGGTTTGTCCTCCAGTAGGAAGAAATAACTGACAAATTTGGCTGAAATGGTTGAGGGTGGGATTATGTTGTCATTAAAGATCTGTTGCTTCATGGTCACACTAGCTTTGAGTACATCCAAAAACAGAAGTGTTACCAGTGTCCCAAAGAAAGCTTATCTTCCCTTGATATTATAGAGGTAATCCATGGTTAAGAAAAATGTAATATTTTCATGAACCACTGAAAACACAATGTATATAAAAATGTGCAGCTTCAGCGGTTCATGAAAACATTGCACAGCTTCAGCGGTTTGTCAACGTGAGAAAGAAGAAGGCTGTCTGCCATTTTTAGTAATATGCAGCTTGTTAATCAATACAAATTGTCTGCAAGTTTGATCTTAGCCCACAGACTGCCTATACACTAATCAATCAGTAAGTTACTATTACAGTACAAAATGAAATGACAAATTAACAATAAACCAAAGAAAAGTGAAACAGAAATAATAAATAGTAGCGTTTTGCTATGGAAAAATTGCAGTCTTTATGAAAAAAAAAGGCAGAGGAAATCTGTGAGTAGTCTTACTTTTTAAGTTCACTGTATATAGGTAATACTTCTGGATGGCATACAAATGCAAATGCCAGAATTGGTATTGTATAGGCAGTCTGAAACGAACGAACGAACGAACAAACAAACAAACAAACAAACAAACAAACAAACAGTTCTGGTTAATGCTGGGCTTGCTTTTTCCTGGGCAACCTGAATTCAATTTCCTGAACCCTGTAAGGGGTTGCTATCATGGTGGGCTTCACATTATTTTACTATCGGATCTGTGGGCGTGGCTAGGAGAGGGGGGACATGTGGCTGAGTGGGCATGGCTACCTTGACATCCCTCATGCACATACAGTCACATGCCCCCCACCCCCATCTAGCCACACCCACAGAACTGTGAAAATTTCTGTTTTGCCAGCTGGGAAGCTGACAAAGAAGCCTCACTTTCCCCACTGCCATGGTTCTTGGAGGAAGGAGGCAGGTATGGTGGCCCAGTGCTCACTTCCCTTACCACTCACCACTGTTTGCCCCCTTGCCGCTTTCATGAACAGATACCCAGCTAAG